AGGAGGAGGCGGAGGAGGAGGAGGAGGAGGAGGAGGAGGAGGAGGAGAAAAGGATTGACCTTACAAAATGAGAATAACCAAAATGGTGGTACTGGAATAAAGACAGACATAGAGACCAGTGGAGTAGAATTGGGTCCAGAAATAAAGCTCTGTGGAAGTGACTTTCATAAAGACAGACATAGAGACCAGTGGAGTAGAATTGGGTCCAGAAATAAAGCTCTGTGGAAGTGACTTTCAAAAGTGCCAGGACCACGCCCTGGGAGACAGAACAGTCTACTAAACAAATGGCTGTGGGATAACTCAATATCCATACACATGACAATGGAGTTGGAACCTTATCTAATGCCTTGTACAAAAATTAACTCAAAATTAATTAGCAAAGGCTAGGCATAGTTTCACATGGTGGCACATGCCTGTCTCAAACAACAGCAAAGATAGGTGTGGTGGGTACACATCTGTAATCCAACTACTCAGGAGGCTGAAGCAGGAGGATTGCAAGTTTGAGGGCAGACTGGCAACTCTGCCTCAAAATTTAAGAGAGGGAGTACTATAGCTTAGTGGTGAAGCGTATTCCTAGAATGCTTGAGGACCTGGGTTCAATACCCTGTACCAAAAAAAAAAAAAGGCCATGATTTAGCTCAGTGGTTCCACCAAATGTCTCTCAAGAGCAAGGGCCTGAGTTTGATCCCTGCCCCCCAAACACACAAAGATCAAAAGTGAGAATGTTAAATGGTGCCAGGGGAGGAATTATTTGACAGTTCCTTTAAAAAACCTTAAATGGCCTGGGGATTTGGCTCAGTGGTTCCGCTGCCTGCCTTACAAGCATGGCCTGAGTTTGATTCCTGGTAGCAAAAAAAAAAAAAAAAAAAGAAAAAGAAAAGAAAATCAGAAACGTTGGTGAAGATGTGGGGAAATTTGAACTCTTGTCTCTTACTGGGTGTTTCCCCAAAAGTTAAACATAGGGGCTGGGGATTTAGCTCAGTAGTGCCACCTGCCTTGTAAACACAAGGTCCTTAGGGCCAGGGATTTAGCTTAGTGGTTCTGCCACCTGCCTCCCAAGCGCAAGGACCGGAGTTCGATCCCGAGTTCGATCCCAGGTACCAAAAAACAAAAACAACAAGGTCCTTAGTTTGACTCCCTTTACAAAAAAAAAAAAAAAAAAAGCTCAGAAAATTAAGCATACAATTAACATATGACCCAGCAATTCTACTCCTAGTTATAGACCCCTAAGAACTGAAATCAGCTACACAAACAAGTACTTGTTGGGGCAACCCACTTTCTGGTTTCCCTTCTACCTCTCTTAGACAGAAGCTAACTTTCAATTTTTCCTACTCTTAAAAAAACAAACCAAGCCTGGCATGGTGGCACACACCTGTAATCCCAGCACTCAGGAGGCTGAGGCAGGAGGATCGCTGTGAGTTCGAGACCAGCCTGGGCTACACAGAGTTCCAGAGAGCAGTCTGAACTACGTAGTGAGACCCTGTCTCAACAAAACAAAACAAAACAAAAAAACAAACAAACCAAATACTTGCACCTCAATAATCCTAGCAGCTTTACACATAATAGCCAAAAGATGGAAACAACTCAGTTGTCCATAAATGAATGAATAATTCACAAGAGACATGCAACGGAATATTATTCAGCCATTAAAGGAGTAAAGTAATGATACATGCTACAGAGTGGATGAACCATGGAAACATTAGGCTGGGAATCCGGACACTAAAGGTCACATGGTTTATGATTCCTTTTATATGAAATATTCAGAATTAGCCAATTTATAGACAGGAAAGTTATTTGCGACAGAGAGATGGGAAAATGATGACAGCTGCTCGTTGTAATATAGTTTCCTTTCTGGAACTACATAGAGGTGATGGTTGCACAACAGACAATATTCTGAACATAATAGATGCCACTGAGCTAACTTTCTTTCCCTTCTCCCCTCCCTCCCACTCTTTCTTTCTCTCTCTTTCTTTTGCAATAATGGGGATTGAACCCAAGGCCTTGCACATGTTAGGCAAGCAGTTTACCTCTGAGCTATATCTGTCTTTGTTTGTTTGTTTTTGTTTTTGAGTCAAGGTCTCACTATGTAGTTGAGACTGACCTGGAACTCACTATGCAGCCCAGGCTGGTTTCGAACTCACAGTGATCCTCCTGCCTCAGCCTCCTGAGTGTTGGGGTTACAGATGTGCACCACCACGCCTGGCTAAATTGTTTTTGTTTTTTGTGGTACTGGGTATCGAACTCCGGATGTTGTGCTTGCGAGGCAGGCAGCGGAACTCCTGAGCTAAATCCCCGGCCCCTACATCTGTCTTTGAAGTTTTTTATTTTGAGACAGAGTCTTGCTAAATTGCCCAGGTTGGCAGTTTCTCACTTGGCCTGGAACTTGAGATCTTCCTGCCTCAGCAACCCGAGTAGCTGGGGCTTCAGGCATGTGCTGAATTCCTTACTTTAAAATGGTTTATTTTATGTTCTCTGAATTTTACCTCAATTTAAAAACACCAACTTGGAGTAGTGACTATATGTTTAAGGAATGCTTTCATATGTAACAGAACTATGAAGAAAATCAAAGGAATGAGAAACACAAAATTCAGTTCCCTAGAGTACTACATAATTGGGAAGGGATACCTAGGTGCTTTCGGTGGTGCTGGGGACATCCTATTTGTCGAGAGACATTCTGTGTGATTTTTTTTTGGAAAAGTTATTTCATAATTAAATTGTGGTTGGGTTTGTCTAAAGCCTACCAGCTAAGGCATGCGGAAACATCATTCCGTGTGCCTCCAGACACAGCTGGGGCTTCCATGGTCCCCTGATGCTGTGATGCTCCAGGGCAAGATTACATCAGCTGAAGACACCCTGGCTCCTTAAGAACAGAGTAGAAAAAAGAAGAAAAGGTTTCATGCGGGCAAAGGGCAAATTCCGTATTAGCCAGTGGTTTTTGTTTTGGGTACCAGAATGAGCTCATCCTCCTACTACTGTAATGAGGCTTTGCCCATCTCACCATCCTCATCAACACGAGACCCTGACCAGTCTAAGACCCTCACCAACATCAGATCACCACTGCCCTGAGTCCTCTGATTATCCTGTGCACCTAATAAACAGTGGTTAGCTCGGAATGTCTTTGCCCACTTGGGCCTTGACCTCCCGGCCCACCATGTACCCTGAAAGGGTCTTTTATCCCTTGCCACACCCCTCTGTAGGCATCCGATACATTTCTTTTATTTTTCTGCAGTGTGGAAGATCAAACCCAAGGCCTCATGCTTACTGTGTACTGTGTACCCGCAATTGAACATTCTGCTTTTTTTCCGGGAGGACAGGATCTCGCAATTTAATTCAGGCTGGCCTTGAACTCACTGATACCCAGGCTGAACTCGCGGCGATTCTCCTGCCTTGGCCTCCTAAGTACTAAGATTACAGGTATGTGTCACTAAGCCGGGTTCTAATTTGCTGCTTTTAAGACACACAAATATTCACTACAATATTCTTTACAGGGGGTCCCCATTTAACGACCTACCTGTGTAACTGGACCTATATATAACCTGCTACTCAGACTTGTGACCTGTCATGTTTTTGTACGGTTCTGTACTTCTCAATGTCTTTTTTTTGGTACAAAACACCGTGTTTATACAGTAACTTTTGCTGACTGTACAGTGCTATCGTTCTGTGTCCTGTTATACACCGCAGTACTGCATGTGAGAGTTATGCAAATAAAAGCAGAGTCCTCACGTTGGAGTTTTCTTTGACCATTTCTTTGTTCTGAATATCGTAATGCATGTACCATAGCCTCATTCAGCGACCAATTCATTTCATGGCCGAGTTGCAGGAATAGAAACGGAGCTCGGTTGTTAAATGCGGAATGTCTGTGTTTGTTGCATATTATGACCAACATTCTTTTATGTACATGAAATCACTCTTACGTTGCAAACTGCCAGCCCTTGTTTCTCCCGCCTTCTGAGGTCTCCACCCACCTGTCAGCCCCAGGGAAAGGGCTGCGAGGACGCATCCTGTCACGAGCCTACCTGTTGGCTCCCCATCTACCTGTGCCTGTCCCCGCCGCACCTGCCTGGGAGGAGGGTCCTCAAGGCCCCACCCGCACCACACCGGGTGCAGAAGCTTGCTCACCCTGGTCCCCACCTAGAGCACATTTTGGCATTCTAATACGCTTCAAGTCGGTGCCCTGTGGTGC